AAAAAATCATAAAATGCCAAATTATGGTTGTAAAACTATCTAGATACAAACGGTACAATCAGAGTTATCTAGTTAAGTGGTAGAGCACTGGCTTATAATAATTGAGACAAACGTAAAATGACAAGTTATAGTTGTAAAACCATCTAGATAAAAAGAGTACAATCAAAGTTATCCGGTTAAGTGCTAGAGCACTGGCTTATAATAATTGAAACAAACGTAAAATGACAAGTTATGGTTGTAAAACCATCTAGATACAAACGGTACAATCAAGGATATCTGGTCAAAATTTAAAATTTACAAAATATGATAATACTTTTTTATTTGATTTTTATTTTTATTGGATTACTAGTATTTAACGCTTAATAATAAATTACGTTTGAAAATCCAGATTTATTTTCATGTTGTTTCAAGGAAATGTTTCGGCAGATTATTCTCGTGTGTACAAAGTACATAAGTGTTACAAATCTACGTGCACAGATAGTATATTCAAGGCAATAAAACACTAAAGCATCTGTATTATAGTAAGGGTAAATTCCAACGTTATAATATTTAAAATACACTTAATAATGGCAATGATTTTTTTTTATATGATAAGGGTGACTAACGAGAGCACAGTCCACCTGATGGTAAGTGGATGCTATGGCCCATAGACATCTATATCTAACCTCGATTACGAATCAAAATGCAGATCCGTTGTCACTAAAGTGGAATGTCTCTTTTCAGTAAAAAGGGTCTCCGGTTCTCTACACTCACCATACGAAACACAGCAGCGTTCAGCTGCTATTTTACGCTGGTGTTCTGTGAGAGTTTAATTTTTTTCCAGTAAGTGTTTCCTCTTTATTTTAATGAGTTTTTCTTCTCGCATTAGTACAGGTTAACCGTGTAGTGGCAGTGTAAGAATATTTGCTACCCCATATCGTTCCATGGATCTCGTAAGAGGCGGCAGAGGGAAAGTGAAACAGAAGATAGGCAGCAGCATCTTCCTGATAAAAACTCAAAATTCTAAAGAAAATGCGGATGCCAAGCCGCCTGCCAAGTGTGGCAACTACGGCAAAAACTACCTAGGCCTATGTTCACCAGTGAAATTTTATAGGCTACAATTAAAAATGCTAAAGCGCTTTTATTTTAGTAAGAGAAAAATTTTACGCTTTGATATTTAAAACACATTTAATAAAAGCAATAGAATAGAATAGAATAGAATGATTTTATTCAATATTCATTATTACATAATACTTATTGAAAGTCATTTTTTTTATTTACCACTGGTTCGGAAAATTCCTCTGTCCTGGGAAGAACCAGCAAGAAACCCAGCGGGACGTTTTTTTTAAACATAATTTCACTTAACAATAATTTTGTTTATACAATTTTAAATGAATTTTCATAGAACCCGCATGGTGGCGATCGCCTTATTTTTAGGGGTTATTTTCATTCTTGTATTCCTTGATATTATAATAACCCTTTTAGAATGTTTTTCTTTAATAAAACTTTTAAACTTGTTTATTGACAAACTGAACATGTTCTGGGATTTTGTTGTAAAAGCGTATACATTGCCCCATAAATGAATTACTAATTCTGTGTTATACATTATATTATAATTCAATACTTGTTTTCATTTAGTTTAATTTATTTCCAGTAAATATTAATTCATAATATGAATGTAATTTTCTTCTCGCATTTGTGCAGTATAAAAATAGTGAATCATATTTAATAAGAGTGGGTAGCGTGAGCTTCCCAAGTCGACAGTAAAGCCCAACCTCTTCGCTTTCGCTTCGCTTCACGATCGAGGTGTGGCATTCTGGTTATATTTGAGGGGTGTAAAGGAGAAATAACGACCTCTTCTCGTTAACTACACGCGGGCGAATTATTGAACGAATATGACTCTGGCGACCAACAAATTATAAAATGAAAATAATAAAGTTCACTGTGTACTGTTTACCCGTTTTATGAAAGTGTATACAGTATATCAGAACGCGTCGATAAGTAACGAATCACGTATTTGACATAAATTTATGAAAAGGCACAGTATTAGTTATTGGGTTAGTTAAAAAAAATCCTAAAATGTTAGACCAACTTGTTAACGAGTAGGTTTTTCCATTTACTGACGGCTCGGTGGTTCAGTGGGTTGCGCGTGGAACTAGTATTTGTTGGGCCTACATATAACTGTTTCGAGTCTGGATGTTTGTATATGTGAAATTGACATACATACGAATTAACGTGGTAGAGCCATGCTACAGATATATTAATTGTATAGTTATAGCTCGAATGGGTCGGCTCGACCTGGGAAGGCCCACGCACTTACAGGATATCAGTGAAAAATAGCAGCTTAATGCTGCTGTGTTTCGTGTCGTGAGTGTTGAGAACCGGAGACCCTTTTTACTGCAATAGACGCATTCCATCTTAGTCCTCACGGCTGAAAACGCATCTGCATTTTGATTCGCAAATGAAGATAGATGTAGATGTCTTTGAACCACAGCAACCACTTACCATCAGGTGGACTTTGTGCTCGCTTGTCACCCTTACCCTAAAAAAAGTAAACATTATATAGATAAATAATTCTGAGATAAATACGTTCACCAAAGACACTGATATCTTTGGATTTAGAGACACATGTAAATAATGAATCTCATAAATGTATGGTAAGTTTTTTTTAAATGAAATAAAGTAAGTCAGTTCCTTCACATATTCGCGAGCTACCCATGCTTACTGCCTTACTGAGGCATTAAGAAATATATCGAGGTTTTGAGAAGGCCGGCAGCACATATTGTGTCATTGCGGTAAAATCCTTTTGTTTTTTTAATGGTTTATGTGTGAAAAACGAACGTACAGTGCAACTAATGGTAAGAGGAATGTTATGGCCCATAGGCATCTACATTCTATCCTCGATCAAGAATCAAAATGCAGATCCGTTGTCACTAAAGTGGAATGTCTCTTTTCAGTAAAAAGGGTCTCCGGTTCTCTACACTCACTATACGTAACATAGTGGCATTTTCTTTCTTATATGCCTTCTTAGGAATAAGAAGTCTGTGACCAGCAGTAGGATAATTATAGGCTTACTTTACCTAAAATGTTGTACATTAAAAAATACAGATAAGATATAATTATCTACCACTAAATCTTTACACGTGGTAGAGCCATGCTACAGATATATATTAGTAGTATAGTTGTAGAACGAATGGGTCGACTCGACCGGGGAAGGACCACGCTCTCACAGAATACGTAAGTCCCTCAATAAGGTTTGAGATGCTCGAAATTGAAAAATGGAACGCACCCGTGTTATATGTTTCTGAAAAACAAATTTATTTAAAAATAGAACTCCATAAGCCAATTGCTCATTATAAAAAAAACAAAATTCTATTGAGTTTCCTGCAACGCTTCCCGCGTTTTTCATTTAAAACGATGGATCTTAACCGTGAACATTGGCGCGCTTTGATATATTCTTTATTTCTTTATTTTTTGAAAAAATAAAGAAATAAAGAATATATCATTTTAAATTTAGTTTAACCGAACAATTAAGCTTACAACGGTTGCAATCAGCATTAGGGGATTCAGTTCCATCACGCGCAGTAATTTTTAGGTGGTTTGCTGAATTCAAAAGGGGTAAAATTAATCTTAAAGATGACCAAAGAACCGGAGCCCCGCAAACAGCAGTAACGGCAGAAAATGTATGGACTACTGAAATGTTGGTGCGAGAAGACCCACGAATCACATATACGGACACCGAAAAGATTCTAGGCATTAGTTCGGGGAGCATTCATACAATCCTACATCAACATCTTGGAGTGAGGAAGCTTTGTTGTCGATGGATCCCTCGTTTGCTCTCCGAAAGCGAAAAACAGACTCCTGTCGATTGGTGCCATGAAATGCGTTTACGTTTTGAAAACGGGGCATTTAGGCGTGTTTCAGAAATCGTTACTGGTGACGAGACATGGATCTATCAATATGATCCGGAAAATAAACGGCAATTATCGGTATGGGTCTACTCAGAAGGACAGTTAACTACAAAATTGCAAAGATCGCAACGTTGGCAAAAAATGGCTAGTTTTTTTTTTGCGGAGCGGACATTTGTCGACGTCAATACCGGAAAATTGTAGGTCAGTCAACTCTGAATGGTATACTACAGTTGCATTACCCAAAGCTTTTCGAGCTGTGCGGGAGAGAAGACTAAAGACCGGGCTTCGGGGAATCATGCTGCATCACGATGACGCCTCTTCACATACCTCCCGTAGAACAAAAGAATTTATTGAGGAATCTGGTGTTAAAACTCTAAGTCACCCACCCTACAGCCCAGACTTAGCTCCTTGTAATTTCTTTTTGTTCCCAAGAGTGAAAAAAGGCAAGTTTTTTTCGAATTTCCGACCTTTCAGATCAAGACTGACAAAACTGTTTTCAGAGTTGGTTTAGGCGAATGGAACTGTGTATAGAGCATGATAGAGAATATTTTGAAAAGTTGTAAAATAAATATTAATAGTATCTAGAATACTTTTTGTATATCTCAAAACTTATTGAGTGATCTACGTACTCGCTCCCGGAAGACGTTATTTTGCCTTTTCTGGTTCGTGGCGCTATGAGTTTCATTTCACACACACACACACACACACACACACACACTTTTATTGATTTATAAAGATAAATCACTTTTAGTTAAATATAGCAAAATTCTCTTTGTGACTAATAGAACCATCAGCAACCATTATGACAATAAACTTAAAAAGAAAAAGAAAAAAACATAACTTTTATTTTTAATTTTCCGTAAGCGGAAGCACTGCTTATACGAGTACAATACACATCAAATTTTATGTAAACCCCCCCGAGTAGTCTCTGCGTGAATCGCGATCACACAACTTTTTTTTACATATTTATAGATTTTTTAAATTATTTAGAGATAAATAATTGTCAGCAGTGGACTTTTGATGGGCTGTATGGACCAATAAAATAAAAAAAAATATATAAAGAAGGGTCTGTATGCAATGGTACAATTTTATAATTTAATATTTACTCACCAGTAGCGGATCTGGGGGCACGGGGCGGGGTAAGTGGGCAGGAGTACCAGATGTCGACGGTGCTTGGTCATTTGACTGCTGACGCGTCGTAGATAGATCTGTAAAGATTTCGGCTTATCAAAAAACATTAAACTTTTCCTCGGACAATCTTTCTGATATTCATTAGATCAAACTATAAACATGAGCAGGAAAGAGAATATTGAGAGGTATGTTAAGATCGAGAAACATGGGGAGTTTTAATCATCAAGTGACCAATGCAAGACTAAGATCCTGTTGAGATAAGGCCATGAAATAAATAAATAAGCGTAGAAAATACCTATTCACTAAATATCGAATACGCAGATAAATAATTTTATTTCCCTGTGTGACTCTTTCTACTCTTTTCTTCTTCACACAGATACGTAGTTATTCCTTTTTCTGTCGACTTCCAAAAAGGAGACGGTACTCAATTCGGCTGTATGTTTTTAATGTGTGTTACCTCGTAACTTTTTACTGGGTAAACCGATTTCGAATATTCTTTTTTATTTGAAAGCTGGTACTTCTCGTGTGGTCATATGAATTTGATCAAGGTCAGACCAATAGTTCTTAAGTTATTCTTAATAACTTATATTTAAGTCGGCTGTACAAAATTTTAAATTTTAAATTATTATGCCACATGGAAATACTTTTGCACACATCGAACGCGAAGCGAGGATGTAGTACTCTAGTGTCACCAAATCACTCAAATCACTTCCACCAGCCATATATTGCACTTATATAATTAAAAAAGTACACCAATGGAAAGAGGAGATTTCAATCAATACTTCAAACTAGTTTATAAGATTATTTATTTCGATTATTATTAAAAAAAAGTCAGTTGAAAATAATTTCACTTGGACGGCAGTTGGTGAACAAGATATCTTTCGAAAAACTGAACTTATTATATTTATATTAGACTGATTTTTTTTTATTAGCTTTAGATTTTAATTCTTAGGAAGCCTTTTGAATTTCACTATTGTATTCAAACCATTACACGAGCGTTCGAATTGTGCACTTTTGGATTTCCTATTTTTTTTTAATTGCGAATTATTTTTGGCCATGTCACACTGTTATGACTAAAAGCAAACCATAGAATAAATAATATTACCAACGTATATCTTCGATACTGAGACGGAATATCTTGTTACTGGTAATAAATCTTCGTCTCTAAATTGCACAATCACTATTTCGTACGACGCTACGTCGTAATATCATTTATGAGGGTTACCAAGGCGTTCGTGTGGAAAACACATGGCCCTTTCATTTCCGCTTACCTGACATGGTTGTAGCTATCTTCGCTTTATATAAATATTGCAATGCATAACATACATACATACAGGGTTATTTTTCAAAGAGTAGCCATATTCTAAATTTAAGTTCAAATATATATAATGATATACTGTTATTGCAGTTTTTGAAAAAAACGAGTAAATAATTATACTTTTATTTTAATAATAAAAAAACTAAAACTAGAAACTTAATTATCATATAGTCCCACTCCCCGCGGTATCGTGTCAAGAAAGCTAGCTGCGTTTCCCCGCTAAATGGCTATACTTAGTCTTTCAGTGAGAAAAGAACCGGCCCTCTTAGCACCAGTAGCAACGACCAGCCGCGGATGGAGTTTCTTTAAGAACTTCACCACATGTGGACTCAACAGCAAATGGCACAAATATGTAGTAGTCATCTCTCAGAGACTCATATTTGCGCCACTTACTCAGTTCAGCTGCCTCTGATGCCGCCCCGGCTCTAAACGAGGTACCACTGAGATGAGAGGCCGCCAGAGTGTCTACGCAAGTAGCATCCCACACTAGGGATTTACCTCTCTCCCAAGGGACCAATGTCATACCGTCGGGTCTCCTGCCATCGTCTCTAAATATTCCACAGGTCTCTAAAACTGAGCGAATATTTATAGAGACAATAGCCCTTCGGATGACATCGTTCAAAGAACTGTGTCGTGAAAACCTACCAGCGATTTTCTTACATGAAAGTCCGTGGAGCCCAAACTTGTCGACGCTGCTACCACTATTTGAAATTATCCCAAATTAAATATGATTTATGGGCAACAACATTTTTGCCTACCGATCGACCCTTACAAATGTAATGTAATAAGCAGTAAAATTAGTAAAAATAATGCATTACCAAGCATTATGACTTTAAAAGATAAAAAGGACAGAATATTTTTTTAATTAATTTTTATGCACCATTTGCCTATATTACTTATTCTGAACCTTCTCTGCAAATTTGGCCGGTTATTGCAAAGTAACCCTGTATATGCTCGCGCCTGTCATCCATAGGGATAGGTGGGAGACTACGGTCTTCCATTTGAAAAAATCGTGACACTTCTCTCTCGCCTCCTTTATATACATATAATATGCTCGTCAATGAGGGCATCCACGACTTTTTCTGCCACCAGGGCGGCGCCACTAGAAAGTGAGGTACAATATTTGACAGATTTCATAGCGGGGAAGTTAATTTGTTCCGAAAATGTAAAGGCTTATCTTTCTGTGGTATTAGCTATATTTTATATTAATACGATGAAAATAAATAAACCAAACCACAGGTATTCATGAAAGTAGAAAATTTAAAACAAAAAGTTCAAAATGTGCAAAAAATTAAAGAGCAAACAACTGAGGCATTGCTTTGTGTATTATAAAACTTTTGAAATGATAAACTTTTATTAAAAACTAACTTCTCAATTAAATGATACTGTGTAGCAAAAAACTTTACCTCAGTGGCAGCAGAAAATTATTAGCCATTATTAATCTATACTAATATAATAAAGCGGAAGAGTTTTTTTATTTTTTTGTTTGTTTAAACGCGATAATCTCTGGAACTACCAGTCCGATTTCAAAAATTATTTTTGTATATTATAGCCAGATTTATGTGGAATGGTATAGGCTATCTAGCATTAAGCTATATTACTCAACTAGCCTTAAATATGGATATTTGTTAAGCAAGTCAGAAGAAAAAGCACTCCCGAAATGACTTATCCGCGTACGCTGGTGTTATCGTTAGGGATACGTAAATACAATGTTCTAGAAAAATATAGACCTTAACTCCGTCTAAAAGAAGTCCGCGATACTATATGTCTATTTCTTATACATAAGCCATAATTTGATATTTTGTGACAAAAAAATATTGAAAATTTTAAAGTGATTTATGAGCGTTATTATCCTTACGAACGAAAGTTACTTCATCATCAAGACAATTTTATGAAGATTAACTTTGTTCCTTATACCATGTTATTTGGACGCATAGTTTAAGAGATAATGTAAAATTAAAATAATTCAATACTTGGCTGGGCGCGCGAACGACGCTTAAACCCTAGTCGTTATAAAATACTTGAACTTAGGTCATGTCGCTCACCTCGGACACGTGATGACGCGGGTGAAACCGCGGGGCACAGCTAGTAGAATATAAAGTTACTTTGTTTTTCAAAAATATAGTTACAATATAATTAATGTACCGTAAAAAATATTTTAAATAGTGTGTAAACGTTGCCAGCGTTCTTGGCACGATGCCTTGAGGAATATATCTATCAAATAATGTAGTACTATCGATTCTTTAGAACATATCTACTACTCAAAGAGATAATAAAGGTGAAAGGTTGGTTAAATAGGGCAGGTGATAGAATATTTTTAAATGATAATGAGGTAAGGAAACACCCGCTCAGCCGCTTAATGCTCAGTGCTGGGTAGCGAACTTTATTAAAAAAATCTTATGATTTTCATTAACTTTATAACGTGAAAAAATACGCAATATATCTGAGTGAAGTGTTTTTTTTAAAAATAATTTACTTATAAAATTTAATGTATACCACGTTTTATTTTTCATATTCCTACATTGTCATCCGATTCTGAGCTACCTATGTTCAAAATATCAAATCTCTAGCTCATTGGGAATTGCTCGAAGTGCAAGATTACACCCGGAACGGCAGAAAGACAAACAAGAAAGTAACTTAATAAAAACCTGTTTAAAATAGTTTAAGTATTTTTATAATATATTTTTTTTTATAATCTTTTCATTTTTATTTAATATTAATCTTTATTAAGCTGATCATTGGCATGGCACTATTGCCGTGTAGCGGCAGCTTGATAGAATACACTTCTCCATTTTTTTAATTTATTTCAACAAAGTAACAGTTTTAATTACAATATAATTTCTTCATGTCATTAAAGACAATTGTGTTTGTCTTGGCACTGCACAGTTTGCTCTATTATATTACTTTACTTACACTTTTATTTACATAATATTGAAATTAACTTTTACCTAAACTAAATATAAAATACTATTTTAAAATTGTGTAAAGGAATATTAAACATTTTTGGTATTTACATTGTTTTATGTATAATTTATAGTATATATTTCTTAAACTATAATCTATCATGGTTTAAGGTGAAAGCTCCAGGGTGGCCCGCGAAATTCAAATTTTCTTACGTTTTTTGGAATTTGCAGGTCAGGATCAGGTTGAATGTTTAACAAAATATTATTCGCGACCGTAACGAGTATGTGTTTACAGAATTATTATCATTAAAATCACCAATACAACCCTCCAAGTTCATATAATCCCTTTAAATGAGTTTTTTTGGAAATAGCCATACAATGGGATTATACGAACTTAGACGGTTGTATTGATGATTATAATGATTATAATTCTGTAAATACGTACTCGTTACGGTCGCGAATCATATTTTATTAAACATACAACCTGACACTGACCTACGAATTGCAAAAATCGTAAGAAAATTTGAATTTCGCGGGTTACCCTGGCGCTTTCACCTTAAGAAATATCTACTATGAATTATTATTTATTAAAATATATATATATTTAATAACGTGGGTTCCGTCAGAGGCGATAGAGGGAAATGAAACAATAGTTGGGTAGGAGCACCTTCATGATTGCAACTCCAAATAATGAAGGAGAAGGACTGCGGTTGCAGTGTATAGGTGATAATGATGGTGATGAGTCTGATGGTACCGGTTATCTCTGCTCAGCGTAAATTATTAACAAGTCGAGTGTTCTGGTTTAGAAGTCCAACCGAAATCAATAATACTTATGTAAAGACGGCTCCGTGGCGTAGTGGCTTAGCAATGAGTTGCTGCGCTGGGGGCCGCGGGTTCGAATCCCGCACGGTACAAGTATTTGTATGGCCTACAAATAATTGTTCCGGGTCTGGATGTTTGTCCTTGTGTAATTTGTGTTTGTAAACTGCCTCCACGATACAGGAGAAAATCCTAATATGGGGGTGACGATTTTTTTTTAAATTAAAAACAATAAAGAGGGGTGAAGTCTTTTGTTAAAACTAAAAACACAAATATATAACATATAAATAAAATTGAATTGTATGTTTATAGTAAAGCAATAACTGCCTTTTATTGAATTCAGGAGGTTATTTGCATTAAGACATAAATAAACATTTAAAAATTGTCTCTCTGTCTGTCCGGGGTAATCTTTGAAGTGGCTTTACCAATTGAAATGAAACTTCATGAACAGATAGAGAGCAAGTAGTAATCTAGGCTACAGTTTCTCTCTCTTTTAATTTTTTGTGAAATCGAAAAATTCAAACAGTGAATGGTCGTTACTGATTATTTTAAATATAAATGTTGATATAGTGCCATTTAAAGATACCACCCAGTCGAAGCTGGGGTGAGAAGATACTTTTGAATAAAACAATTTTAGTATGTTTGCAGGTGCATGACATTTAAAGCCCGCTCATGTGTTACCTCGGTGTCTAAACGTGTATAGGAAATATGAACGAGGATTATTTTGTGTCCAACTAAAGGCGCGAACTTTTCAATGTTCATATTATAATGCGCTATTCCTTGGAAGATGGTATTGTTATGATCATGAAGGATGACAATAGTTTGAGACTCAAGAATACTCCGCTGTGGTACTTTTTTATAGAATAAGGGTAAGTGGATGCTGTGGCCCATAGATATTTAAATGTATTCCCAATCAAGAATCATAATGCAGATGCGTTGTCACCCTCACGACTGAGATGGAATTCCTCGTTTTCGTTTCGTTCGTAAAAAGGGTGTCCGGTTCTCTACGCTCACCATAAGTACGAAACACAGCAGCAGTATACTGATATTTTACGCTGGTATTCTTTGAGATTGTGGTCCTACCCAATGGAGCCTATCTATTCGTGCTACAACCATAACTCTACCACGTAAAAACCGTGGCTCTACCACGTAAAAATCGTCCCTGTTGTTGAAATCTGAATTTATCATGTTCTGTAAAATATGGTTGCTTATTGTTTTATACCTTAGTACTTTCTGTATGGGATATCGCCTATGTAAAAACAAAAATAAAAAGTAAATATTTTAACCAGCTTCAAAATAGGATTCGACTCTTGTAATTTATGTTACGCGATGTCTTCGTCAATAGAGAACCTATTTTGATTTTTTTTAAAATTAAATAGATTACATTTCAATTTATTTACCCGTGTGAATTAGGAGAAAAATATCCACTAAAATAGGAGTGAAGTTTTAATCGTGTAGACAAGATTGAAATCGTGATATTCTTTAGTCCATTTTATTACACTGAAAGGGTAAAAAAAATTGAAATTGATTTTAAAGTTATTTTTTTAATAAAATAAAATTAAAAATATTACGTCCAACTTCTGAATGTGAAATTATTTAATTCTTATTAATTATTTATCTTCTTTGAAATCGGCTTTAATTTTTTTTTCTATGGAATGTGCAACCATCAAGATAAGTTTAATCTGTTTAACAGTACATTCGAAATTGTGAAATAAAAATTTAATCACGACAAGCTTTATAATAATACAATAATATAACAATAAAAGATACTCGAAACTAATACCTATTTATTATTTATGACAAAATAGAAATTTTAGTCTGTTTTTTTTTCTTTTACATAGAAAACAACTTACCATCCCTTTTTCGGAAGAGGCGCATTCTCCGCCACTTCCTGACTGCTATCTTAAATCTCCTCATCAGCACACAGTTCAGAAATGCAGTTGATATTCTGTGACGCCATTTTGTACACATCTGCAGTTAACTGTCTGTTGTTTTATTGTCTGTGGTGATTTCCATCACTTTAACTCACGAACACATTTTCGTTTATTTTTTCTACAAGTAATCATTCTAAATTCAAGTAATAAAGGTAATTTTTTTTAAATAAATAATGCGTATAAATTGCTAGCGAGATAATTATACATTCTGAATGCAGCCGTAATATCACAACAACATGTTGATCATGTATTTTCCTGGCCAATCTTTTGTTATTAGATTACTCGTAAACATGTTATGAAATATAATGTTACAGAAGACGCTGATTCCGTTATTCAATTGTTATTGCTGGTCAAAACAAGGTGTCATACTTCAATAAACATATTTGTAGTTGGAGCGAGGAATTGCCATAATTGCCAGATATTGCAGATAGATTGGTAGCCGCAGTACATGTCGTACGTAATAAATACTATTATATTAAAAAGCCAGTAACATGTACACATTTTAAACCCATTTAAAATTTTCATTTTATTTAAGTTTATGATTTTTTAAAGAATATTAGTGACACACGAGCACACAGTCCACCGGATGGTAAGCGGATGCTGTAGTTCATAGACATCTACATTTATTCTCAATTAAGAATTAAAGTGCAGATTTGTAGTCACCCCTGAGAACTAAGATGGAACGCCTAGTTACCAGTAAAAATTGTCTCCGGTTCTCTACACTCACCATACGAAACAGCAACATTTAGCTGCTATTTTACGCAGGTATTCTGTGAGAGCGTGGTACTTCTCTGGTCGAGCCGACCCATTCGTGCTACAACCATAATATAACTGCATGTGTGCGACTCTACCTCGTTATATTATAAAGAATGTTATATTGGATTAACTTTTATAAATTTTGTTATATTAGCACATTACACGCAATCTCGAGTCTTATTTTTAAAAGCACAAGAATGGCTGATTCTTTTGATCCAAAATAATCAGTTATAGTAATATTACTACGTGGACAATAAAAATTGCCGACTTTCATACTAAAAACGATGTTAAAAAGATAATTGGGATACGCTAACAGGGGAAGTTCCTTTTCTGGAAATAAACAATGGATTGTTTTTGTCGACGATTTTGGCGCGCAGCCAAAAGAGTCAAGGGCAACTGCGTATCCGAATTTTGAAGGTGAAGAGTATTTATTTTTGACATTACAATGAATATTTTAAGGTGTATACTTCTTTCGAAACGTAGTGACTTGAAACCCGATGAAAAGAAAAAGCAATACTAAAAGGAGACAAACATATAAATCTATAGGACATAGCCAGTGAGAGAATTTGTCGAATACTATAAAAGCTCGAAGCGTGGGCGACCCCGTACTGTTAGAACCAGATGAAATATAAACGCTGCCAACGCCAGAATTCGATGTAACCCCTTTCTAAAAATTAATATTCAACGAATTCCTGAATTGTAACAATTTAGTATGTACTATATAAAAATGTATATTATATACTAAATAACATTAAGATGGAATGCCTCGTTACCAGTAAAAATGTAAAGGCGGTCGTTTATTCCTCTTTTTATGGGATCGAGTGAAAAACGAGCACATACTCAACCTGATGGTAAGTGGTTGCTGTGGCCCATAGACGTCTACATTTATACTCGTTTGCGAGTCAAAACGCAGATGCGTTGTCACCCGTGAGGACTAAGATGGAATCCCTCTTTTCCAGAAAAAAGGGTCTCCGGTTCTCTACACTCATCATATGAAACACAACAGTGTTAAACTGCTATTTGACGCTGGTATTCTGTAAGAAATTACTTCGGCTCTAATAAATAATAAATTTAATTATTTTCTATTATTACTGGCTAATTATAAAAAAAAAACACACTTATATTCGGCACCATAAAAGTGTTTTTAATAAAGTGTATGTCTTTAAATTCTTTTTTCTTCTTAGCCCCTGCTGGACCTGGACCTCTCTCATATCTAAGGTCTATTGATGATTTGTCATAATCGCCACGTTTGTCTGGCGGCATGACAATACCAGTACCAGATGGCTTGCACCATTGTCCTTGCTCAAATTCGTCAAACTATATTACATCTGACATTTATGAGATGGTGATACCACAACTTATGGGAGGTCTTAAGAATTAGATTCTTACGTGGCAATATGAGGTGAAAGATTCACTTGCAAAGAACCCATCCATCACTCACAGCAACTTTATTTGTTTCTGTTTTAATTATTTATATACAGCATTGTTGGGAATGAAGATAAAAAAATAAAAGGAAATACGAACAAATGAAGGTACTCGTAGAATGGTAATCTCCCACTTGTTTTAGCAGTATAAAGTACCGCACAAGCGACTAAGAGGCATCAGTTGGTAATTCTACGAGTCTCACTGTTCCCGTTGGGGTATTCTTCTAGTACAAGCAAGGAAGATCGTGTTGCTGAGAGGCTGAAGGCTGCCCTGTGTACATTGAGATGGGTAGTGATGCTGTTGGTTTGCATACTTTGGTGTTATCATGTAATTGGGCCCTGATAGTAAGCAGGGCTTGTTACCGAGTAGTGTTCTTTTATTTAAATACTTTTGAGAATAATTTCTAACATCAGAAGTGGAATAATTTGTTACAGAATGTATTATTTTAGCGCTCTTATTGTTAACTTAAATTATATGTAAATTACATTACGGGAAGCTTTTGGGTACTTTATTAATTATTTTTTTTAAGAACTTTATCGCATTCACCTTAATTAGATAACAAAAGGGCGGGCTTAATGCCAGTTGGCATTCTTTACCAGTCAACCCAGGGTGTGGTGAAAATAAAGTGATAGGTGACGTAAACAATAAAACAAAATATATTGATACTTACATTATATTAGGTCTTTACCTATGAAATTGCCGTTTGTTATGAAATAAGTTAACGTGATTTTTTTCTATATTTTTTATTTCTATTAATCAAAGTAACCACCAGTAACCACCCATGCAATCGATGTATCTTTGCCAACACAATGGCAACAAATTATTGATGCCTTTCTTGTAGAAATCAGCTGGACGGGAGACAAAAAATTCTTCAAAGGCATTATGAACTACCATTATTGGATTGTTTTCCCGCCAAAAAGTTATCCAATTTCTGGAAAAAGTAGAAGTTTGTAGACGCAAGGTTTAGTGAGTACGGAGTTTGAAAAAAGAATGCCATATTTTTAAAATAAAGTTATATTGAAATCAGAATTCTTAACCAAACAAAATTTTTTTTGATTTGAAATGGCCAGTACTGCAGAACGGCAATTTCACAGGTAAATACCTATTATACCATAAATACATACAAGTATATATCTACACACACATATTATTATATACATATATAAATACAAAATTACCATGTGTAACAAATAACAATAAAGGGGCAGGTAATAATTATATAATAGTAATAGTTATAAAAGTCAGTATTCATGTTAAAGAAATGCGTTCTCTAACGAGTCTTTTGAAAACGTTCTTTATTAAGATCTTTCCTGATGCTATCTGGCAAGCAGGCAAGATGAGAGAGCTATTTGCTGTATTAGTAGCGACATGTGGTCTTTCAAATCCTCAACAATTGTGGGATAAATACAAAAATGATATGACCGACGATATATTGCACAGATTACAAGAGCAAAATCCCAATGTCACGTACAGTGATTTAATTTACAATGAGGGTCTGACAAAAATTGAAGACCAGGTTAAAACAATTTCTGGAAAGGATTTATCAGATTATGGAATGATCAGACCACAGAGAACCGAGGAAATCAGTAGCGATTTAATACGGGAACTAGATTACGATACTGCTTCCTTACAACAACAATTGACAGAGTCTGTTCCACGTTTGATCCCAGAACAAAGGTTAGTATTTGACAATGTTTTCAAAAAAATCGAAGATGGCGAAGGTGGTTTGTTATTTTTGGATGCTCCCGGAGGCACGGGAAAAACCTTTCTTTTAAACTTGCTTTTAGCGCAAATCCGAAAAGATAAAGGAATTGCTGTAGCAGTTGCCTCTTCCAGAATAGCCGCCACTCTGCTCAATGGTGGTCGAACGGCACATTCGGTGCTTAAACTGCCATTAAACTTAGCCCATGAAGAAATGCCAGTCTGTAATATAAGTAAAAACAGCGAGCGTGGACGTATGTTGCAGCAATGTAAATTATTAGTTTGGGATGAGTGTACTATGTCCCATAAAAGAGCAATTGAAGCTCTAGATCGGACTTTGAAAGACATCAAGAGTAATCCAAATATCATGGGGGGGATGGTGGTACTTTTAGCGGGCGATTTTAGACAGACTTTGCCGGTTATCACTAAAGGCACCCCTGCAGATGAAATAAATGCGTGTTTAAAAGCGTCAACGTTATGGGTGCACGTAAAAACGTTTAGTCTGTCTACAAATATGAGAGTGCAACTACACAATGATGTACAATCTGGACAATATGCTGCTGCTCTTCTTAAAATTGGAGAAGATCGTATGGCAAAGGATGGTAATGGCATGATTACATTGGATCGTGAATTCTGCAATGTTGTGCATAATCCAGATGATCTAAATAACTTCGTCTATAGCGAACTGCTAACTAATATGAGGAATAGAGACTGGTTATGTGAAAGAGCAATTTTAGCGCCGACGAATGAAATGGTGGGACAGATAAACGAGCAAATTATGTCACGCGTGGAAGGTGATATTGTTGAGTTTCTCTCTGTAGACACTGTAATGGATACTGAACAAGTAACATCATACCCTGTAGAATTTCTTAATTCTTTAGAACTGTCGGGAGTACCTTCACACAAACTGAGGCTGAAAGTAGGCGTTCCTGTCCTTTTAATGCGGAATTTAGATGCACCAAGACTGTGTAATGGCACACGGTTGCAAGTGACACACCTCGGTCGCAATATTGTAAAAGCAATCATTATGACTGGAATGGCAAAAGGAGAGAACGTTTTAATCCCCCGTATACCCATAATTCCGACAGATTTGCCATTCCAGTTTAAGAGATTACAGTTTCCGCTGAAAATCGCATTCGCTATGACGATAAATAAAGCTCAGGGGCAAACATTAAAAGTAGCCGGCATTAATTTAGAAAAGAGTTGTTTTTCTCACGGACAATTATACGTGGCTTGCTCACGTGTTTCAAGTTCACAGAATCTCCATGTGTTGGCCAGAGAGGGAAAAACAAAGAACATAGTTTACAAAAATGTACTACAGTAATAAGGCCTCTTATTTTTAGCTTCCTACATTATTATACTACTTACATTAAGTTAGTACTTCCTACGCAGACGATGTTACGGATGTCACACTGTCTAACATCGGGGGTTGGCAGGTAGGTAGTTAGTAGTATTTTAAACCGATTTACATTATTTACTTTTTATATTTACTAAGGAAACATTCGGAGCTATCCATTATGTAGCTTAGGTTGCTTTTGAACAAATTTTGATGTGAAGTTGAGGACTGGAACACGATAGTGGGACATTGTTGCAGGGGGACTTATAGCCGGGAGAAAACAAAAAAACTTATGCGGACGAAGTCGCGGGTAAAAGCTAGTATGTTATAAACGTAACATGCTCCATATTGATTTCCGACTCCTTTTCAGACTATCTGATGATGATGACTTGCAGTAGTCACTTATCATGAGGTAGAATGATAGCTAGTTTTTTTAGAATAAGACTGACAAACGAGCACACCAGTCGACCTAATGGAATGAGAATGCTATGGCCCACAGACAAATACATCTATCTTCAATTAAGAATCAAAACGCAGATGCATTGTCACCCTTGAAGATTAAGATGGAACCTCTCATTCATTCCTCATTTTCAGTAGGAAGGATCTCCAGTTACTTAACCTCAAAAGTCACAGCCATAATATAGCCGCAGCGTAGCTCTACCACATGTGTGTTATTTTTCACTCATATATTGTAAAATAATATACCAGTTGTTATACTTACTTACAGAAATAATAAAAATAATACATTGTTTTTAATTTAAAAAAAATCTATCTGTCATTACACGTTGAACAAGAAGGAAAAATAAAAAATAGCTCGTAACGACTGTAGAGGTATAAAATATTTAAACCGTTGGAACTAGGGTTTTCAACACGCGATGTTCAGGCCTCATTTTGTAATTATCATTTCACAGTAGTCTCATTTTAGCCCTTCCATACCTTCTGTTTATTTAAAAAGTCTAAGTTATATTTTAATTTCAAACTGAAAAAGTGTGCTGTTCAAAATACGTTAACCGTGATTTAGTCTCACATAAACCAGCATAAAATGGCAGCTTAACACGTAGTTGCTGTGGCCCGTAGACATCTACATTTATCCTCGTTTGTGAATCAAAATGCAGATGCGTTGTCACCCGTGACGACAAAGATGTAATGCCTCGTTTCCAGTAAAAAGGGTCTCCGGTTCTCTACACTCACCATATGAAACGCAGCAGTGTTGAGCTGCTATTTGACGCTGGTATTCTGTGAGAGCGTGGTCCTTCCCCGGTCGAGCCGACCCATTCGTGCTACAACTATGCTACTAATATAACTGCAGCATGGCTCTACACGTATAAAAAACGTAGAAACTACTGAAATCCCGTTATTATTTCCTTATAAAAATATTTTATATTAATTTTATATTTACATAACATTAGATTTGATAAACCACAAATTCTAGCAAAAGAACATCGATTCTTGCCAAGGATGATACGTGAGGCTATTGAAATTAAAAAAACATCCTAATTTCAATAGAGAGGGAGGCTGGGTACTGTCACCTGCTTGGGATCCTGTAATTAATAAAATTAAAACTAAACCCAAGCATAGGTACCACTGCAAGACTTCAAGGCACAGTAAGTTCATTCTGCGTAGATCGGACCAAAATTAATAATAAAGCTGAAGGTACACCGACATCGGGACGTCAATCGCCTCAGTCCGCCGTGACCAAAGCACCCAAAACGTCGGGAATTATTAAAAACTAGCTGTGCCCGCGGCGTAGCTCGCGTATACAGGTTTTACATAAAGAATTTGTCGTTTCGGTAAGAGAATATTAAACGATTTATTTCATTACTGTATCAATAAGTGGTAACTAAATAAATCATTATCATCAAAGTTCAAAGTCGTTTATGATAGAGCTTCTGTGTAAACGACGTGAGAAGTAGGCTTAGCCGGGGTGTACACTAAAAGGTTACGGGGGCTACTAACGGGGGAAAAAGCAACATAGAGTTGGCCATGTGCAAAACAGTCAGTACTGAGGTACACTCCTACAACGCGTAAAGTTTGACCTTGCGCTTTATTTACGGTCATCGCATAACATAAACTCACTGTAACTGGGAACTGAACGCGCTTAAAACTGAAAGGAAAGTTACTTCTTAATAGAGGGTTTTTGGGCAGTGCTGCCAGATAAAAAAAACTCATTCAGCTTTAGGACAACACAAAAAGCGCTAGATTTCATGAAAACAGCGCTTTAAAAAAGCCCTAGATTTCGCGCTAAATTAACTACAAACAAAGTTTGTGTATTTTTATATAATCATAATAAAGAAAACAACATTAAGTTTTTTTTCTGGCAATATTTTTTTGATGTATCAATACTTCGCAGGACATCGACTTATAATTATAGCAATTGCTGTCAACAGTAGTTAGTACTGTACGAACAATAAAAATGTCATTAATTGTTTTAAAGTGCAATGTATTTCGCAACTTAGTTTCAGATGTCAGCATCTGATTGCGGTTGCTACACAGTTTCTTTGTGTTATAACTTCTAAGTAACTTTTAACTTAGCTGTGCTCTAAGCAACTGACTGAAACTGAATAAAGCAAAATAAATGCGTTGCCAAAACCATGAACGAAAACTTTAATAAAGGGGATTTCCCCGCTTATAGTCGTCGGTAAAAAAATCAAGTTGATCATCCTAAAGGGGAAGCCAGGAGATCCATAGCACACGGTATCCTAGTTTGGACTCGTCTCCCATGCTCTTTGCTTTGTGGAAAAAATATGTTTGAAAAAGATAAACTGCAATGTACTATTTGTGGGAAAAAATAATATAGGTCATTATTATTATTATCGGTAATGTGGACTAACAGTGCTGCTATAAAAGAGTTAATAACCCGCTAGTCGCTAAAATATTGAAATGTGTGCTAAATACACCAAAAAGCGCTGGATTAAGCGCTAGATGCTAAAATTTCGAAATGCGCGCTATACATTCCAAAAAAGTGCTAAATCTAGTTCCCAACCGGTTAAATTGGCAGTTCTGATTTTGCGTATATTATAAATACAATATCACGACATTTCGTTGCGAAATTTTTATTTTTGGTCGGGTTCCGTTGTATGGCTTCGATGGATATAAATTTCTTCAGTAAGTCTCAATAGAAAGAAAGAAAGAAAGAAAGAAAGGTTTATTCTCCAAAATGACACCATCACAGATAACATAAAAAAGAAAACATAAAAATAATATTGGCTATACAATACAAATTACAATATACTACATAATACAAACTATACAATACCAATACTCAAATGTGTCAAGGCGTCATCTACGATACGATACATCGGCGAAAAATCTCAACACAGCAATTCAGAAAAGTTTGTAATTTGTACAACTCCATCTATTACGTCCTTTGTGTGAGAAAACATCCTATCTCTTTTTGTGTTTTAAGTATAAATATATTAATTATTATGGAACGTTTTTTTTACACAGAAATCTTTTTATTACTATTGCTGAGATTTTATGGCGCCATTGAACAAATTCGAACCTACATTTCAAAATAATAATCATTACTTTCGATAGAATTAACCAATTTTAATAAAACATTGCATTGCATTTTCACAACACCACCATCTATCGAAGAAATGGGTTAACTATTGTGCTTCAGATTTAGTTAATAACGTTAATATATTTTTGTATAATATATTTAATACGTTCTTTATTACTTTTGTTTACTGCGTTTTAGATATACATAATTATATCATTATTTTACATAATTTAACTATGATTTATGATATGATATTAGTTTAAAATGCACTTGATGACTCAAACAAAGCCACCGTTGAGCAATTCGTACCTATACTTCCCTACCCATACTTCAGAATATTTATCATAACTTTTGATGGAATGAACTGATTTTAATGAAATAAAGACTAAATGTAACCCGAAGATACACTTTATAATTTCCTTAACAATTCTTATGATATAAATTAGTACTTTATACGTGATACGTTAACAAACAAACAGACAGACAGACAGAAAATTCTAAAAATGGTAGAAATGTATTTAATTACTTATTTTTAGTACCCCTTAATCACTTTTATTACAAAAATATTAAATGTACAGACATCTGCTATTTACAGTTTTATTATATGTATAGATAAGTTAATTAAACGCGATAGAATCCGTAAAAGTAGGTTTATTCAATGTGTAGTGTTCGCGTAAATATAAGAATTCATTATATTTTATATTAGTCCATATTGCTCCCGGTGATATGACTTCTTTTCTAGGTAGTAGGTGTCACCTTCTTACCTATTTACTGTCGCCAAATAGCAGTGCGTGCACTGCTGTGTACCAGTTTAACGATTAAAGAAAGCCCGTATAAGTCACAGGCACAGGCATTACATCTTAGATTTCAAAGGTATAACACTTCTACAGCCTTTTTTATTTGAAATTGGTTTCAGATGCCTATGGCCTTCAGTGACCATTTCGCACAAAATAAATGTAAGTTTGTTTGTAATTTCAATATTATATTATATACAAAATCTACAACCATCTTCGATTAAAAATCAAACTGATAGTGCGTCATCATCCGTGAGGATTTAATCGGAATACCTTGTTATTATTTAAAAGGTCAGCGTCTCTTATTACCGAAATACGCCTTTTTTTATAGGATAACGGTGACAAGCGAGCACACAGTCCACCTGATTGTAAGTAGTTGCTGTGGCCCATAGACATCTACGTCTATCTTGGTTTGTCAGCTTTGAGGACTAAGTTGGAATGCTTCTTTTCCAGTAAAAAGAGTTTCCGGTTCTCTACACTCACCATACGAAACAGCAGCATTAAGCTGCTATTTTACGCTGGTATTCTGTAAGAGCGTGGTCCTTCGCCGTTCGAGCCAACCCATTCGTGCTACAACCATACAATTAATTTATCAGCAGCATGGCTCTACAACGTTTGATAAACGCGTTCGATAAACGTGGTAGAGTCATGCTTGCATTCTATTACGCCCGCTGTAGTAAGACTTCGATCTC